CCGGGGCGCGGGGAGAAGGTGGCGGGGCCCGCCGGCAGAGCCCTGCCCCTGGCTCGGTGGGTCTGGCACCCTGCCCCTCCGAAACCTCCCTGGCCGGGGCAGCAACCCTCTTGCACCTTCCATGAGGCAAGGCAGAAGAGCTTGGATGCATAACGTGCCCTGACAGCCGGACCCCATCCCGGGACGTGCAAGACCTCAACAGACCCAAATTATTCATCCCCCTTTCCCGTCACTGAGCCATGCAGGAGCCAGTTCGGTGGCCCTCCTGCTTCGGTACCCAAGAGCATGCTCGTTTCCACCATTACCCTCCCGTCTGCTTGAAAGCCCTTTCCCCACCAGTGACAGCCCCATCGATCAGCCCCCACTCACCAGCAAGGATTTGGAAGATTCCAGTAACGTAAAACCGTCCGCCCTTGGTGAGCGTGAACAGCTGGCAAAAGAACAGGAACAGGGACAAGACGCTGAAGATGATGGAGAGGATCATCATCGCTTGGACAGACTGCAGCCATTCTGGGGAAAGACAGACAGACAGAAACCTCAGTGCGGGCACCACAGTCGCGAGCCCCCACCACAGCCCGTGGCCTCGGCATCATCCCCCATGCCAACATCCCACCCATGGTTCCCATTAAGTTTCTTAACAGCTGGGAGATGTGGCCACATCCAGCGCCGCACTGGCTGGCGAAGTCCTCAGCACCCGCATGATGCTGCCTGGGATTTAGGATGACACGTGCATGGTCCAGCGTGCTGGGGTAAAATGAATTGCAGGGCCACGCACTTTCTCAGGGGGCATTTATAATGAAGTATGAGCAGACATATTAGCCCTGATCTGAAGCCTGCAGAAATCAAGACAAAGCCTCTCCCCCAGCTTCGTGTCAGGCCCTGGGAGTTCCGCTGTACTAGAAACACAAAAGCCATGTGCAACAAGCCGTGAGACACTGAGCTGGCCAAGCTCGGAGGTAAAATAAATACAGAGCGAGTGAAAACACCCTCTCTGCCCTTGTGGAGTCAAACCTTTCGGAAAGAGCCTTCCCCAGCTGCCAAACGCAGCTGCCTCCCAGAGCAGACCAGTTAAACCAGCCCCTGCGTGAGTCACTGCCCAGCTATTTCCAGGCTTCGTGAGTGTGTAACTCCCCGCGTAAAAAAAAAATATATAAATAAACAAGCAAAATGCCACTCCATCCCATGAGCTGCTGCAGCTTGACAGAAAGAGGCAGTGCCTCACCGCACCGGGACGGGGCCGTGCTCACAAATGCCTCTGCCTTTCCCTTTCCTTATAAAGTTTGAGATCAAAATGAGGATTTGCAGCCTTCCTTGAGAGGTCTTTAAGGATGCAACATTGATTAATTCACCACCAAAGCCAGGCAGGAGTCGGTACAGGTAAACTGAGGCACAAACCATCCAGTGAAAGGCAGAAAAATCTGCGGCTGGATCCTCAGACAGAGGAGTATTAGGCAGCACTGAAGTCTCAGTCCCAGTCCCGTGTTCCTGCCACGGTTTTACTCCCACCAGCCTCTCTCCCCCAGCTACACGCTGCAAGAAACGGCTTTCTGCAGCAAATAGCTGAAACATAGCAAAACTTCCAAATAAAGCTACGCTTCAGCTTAGCAACCTTCAATACTTGGTGCAGCAAATGAGGCCGTTTGGGACTGCCCAGAGCAGCGTCTGCTCCCAGAGAAGCGATGACGCTTCCCCACCAAATCCTCGCAAGCTGCACTCGTGGAGGTGAGAGTGGAATTTGAACTGGAGAGCGAGGTACAGCCTTCAGCTGGGACAGCAATGATGTTCCACGCCCGAGACCTTCCAACAAATCCATGCCTGTGGGGAACACCCCGTGCAATTTAGTAACGTCTGGCGTGTTTGGCTTTGGACCATCAATTCTACCTCTTGTCTTCGCATCTTGCCTCCTGACATGCAATGGAGCAAATTCAGGCCCTGCCCACCAAAGCAGACCGAAACGACCCAGAGCGGCCTCTGCTCATTGCAGACCGCTTCTTCCTTCCCCTCCTTTTCATGCTGCTACTCTGCAGCATTAACTGGCCCTGCTAAAGAGCTGCTGCGCTTCACTCGTTTCAATGCCGCCAGGTTTACATCCAGGTGCACCCGTTGCTGCCGTTCTTTAGGAAGGAGCAGTTATCACCGGTGTCACTTCCAGGAAATCCCAGTATGGTTTTCACACTGATGTGCACACAAAATGTCCCATATATTTCATCTATCATCTCAGCTGGCCGGGCAGGGAAACCCTCCTGCCTTGACCACACCTGACCCTTCAGCTCTGGCCATGCTAAACCAGCGGGCAACGGAGGGGATGAAGCAGCTCAAACGCTGCTAAAAATCAAGTCATAAATCATTGCTCAGGTGAGGTTGGAGAAGTATCGTTAGAGGGTGTCCAGCTGCTGAATTGCAATCTCCTTCCACACTTCAGCACAGAAAGGGCTCCCATCCCAGGTCTGGGGAGTTGAACTCTTGTCTCACCCTTTCCCGAGCTCTAAAGCTGGGTCCAGCTCCATGCACCAGCGGAGCCAAAGCCTGCCTGGCCCCAAGCCCTGCAGCTTGGTCCAGGACCCAGGAAGCCAAGCCTTTTGTGATTTCAAAGGCCATGGGATCCGGCCCGGAGAGGAGCCCTTTCTGCTCGGAGGTGGATGCTCCAACTGCCGGTTATTTTAGGAGAAGGCTGTCTAGACGGAAAGCTGAGCTGAGCTGCCCTTTTAATTGCATCCGCCTCCCCGTGCCTCTTTTTTGGTTCTGAATGTGAATGATTTATATGGGCTTGTAATAAAGAGCCGTGTCAGAGGAATTATAAAGGCAGGCACCGAGAGAGGGGTTTCGGCAGCCAGCCGTGCTGCTCTGCTGCAGCCAGAGAGCAGCAGTCGCACGAGCTTGTGAGCAGGGAAATCAAGAGACGATCCCACAGAGCAGAGCTCTGGGCCTGCTCACATCCAGCCCTTTGCTGACTTTTATTGGCCTCCTTTGTAAAAACGAGGGGAAGGATCTCCAGCTCATGACTCAGAAACCCACAAGTGCAAGCTGCTATATTCCCATTAAATCCAAGCCCAGCTGCCCACAGACTTCAGCTGTATTAGGCTAGCTAATTGCCCTTAATTCACTTGAAAACACTACTATAACTGCAGATAGCATTCCTATCTCCTCAACTCTGTATGCTTTTAACTCCTTTGCTATAAGCGCTGTGTCCTACCTATAGGCTTTTAAAAATAAAGCGAGTTTCCTACAGGGAGGTCTGGGCCCCGTGAGTTGTACCATGGGGCTGTCAGCACTGTTTACTCCCAGACTGTTATTTGTGGTTTCCCCTGGGCAGCGAGTCCGTTATTCCATTTTTCTCCTGCATCTCTTCAGCTCTGTGTTTATATCTTTGTTCTTCAGGAGGAGGAAGAAAAGGAAACAGAGTGGAGAGGACAGATAACACCCTGCAAACCGCTTCCGGAGAGGACCCATCGGGAGCATTTTTAGAGCCCTTTCAGGCAGTCAGAAATGAAGTAAGAAGTTTTTACAAAACAAATTTGAGAATTTTCCAAAGCTCTGCAAGCCCTGCTGTGCTCACATCACCACTTATAACAGCAGGGAAAAGACTTCACCCCCAGGATGCTGAAGACCACATTTCACTGCCCTAAAATCTAACATGAAAGAAAGAAACCCAGAGCAGAAATTGAAACAGAGCAGAAATCGAAACCTAGAGCAGAAATTGCTGCTGAATCCCCCAGAAAGACAGTAACTAACCCAACCCCTTCCAGCAAAGCCCCAGCCCTCCTTGCAGGGAGGTTTTGTACCTGGACAAGGGCTGCAGCTGAGCAGGATTGACGGGACAGGCAGAAACATGCCCTCGGCCAGGAGCAGAGGGCCTTAAAGGACAAGCATTGGCTCCCCAGGGTTTAATTCACTGCTTTGTCATAGACACCCTATCCTCTTTTGACCCAGCCCAGGAGAAAGAATAAAGTGCAAACTGAAAAGAAACATATTTGAGCAATCAGCTTATACACTCGCTGTAAGACATCGCATCAGCAAGTTAGTGCTATGCATTAAAAACACCCGTGTGCTGTGACCTGCACCTGATGGTAACATTTTGCACGTATACCTTTCCCTTTGCAAACTGCGTACGCACCGTACACTTAAAAAGCAACCACTTCTCGGGAGGAAAACATCCACTAAGGATGTAACTGTAGCATATAATATATACAAAACTAGAGGGAGAGGAAATTCATGACCGCCTCTGCATGGTAAAACCTGCTCCTTCAATGCTGCAAACTAAATATCAGCAGGGTCAGGAACAGCACATCCATCTACTGGCACGAAGGTACAAGCCCAGGTCTGCCAGGAAAAGATGCGTTTTCTGAGCAGAGTTTTTCCAAAGCAGACTCTCAGGCTTCAAGATCTGATCAAGAACCTGAACCCAACTTGCACCCTCACATGAAGTGGATCGGTCACATCACAAGTGCTGGGGCTTGCAACAGTTTTAAACCTTGACATTCAAACACCCCTTAAGAGGGTTGAAAAGGGATGAACTAGCTCAATTGCATCATTTTTCTGGGGCTGAACTTCAGACCGCTGCCCCTTGGCAACTCGCTGTACCAACCCAGAAAGGCAAAAAAGCTCAGCTACCTGCCGTGCTATTCCTGGACAGCACAGACCCCCCCCGCCAGCACCCACGCTCCCACCGCTCAAAGTGAACACCTCTCCTGTTGAGAACAGCATCGTGGTTCGTCAGCCACATCCAGCAGAGCCGCTAAGCTCTCCTAAGGAAAATAACAGCTCCATGACATTGCAACTTTCTTCTGCTTCGGCCCCAGACCTCCCACCAGCACGAGGTCAAACCTTCCCCGGCCGCGCTCTGGGCTGTTGGATGCTCAAGCTGGGAAAAGCAGGTTTTCCACCCAACAGTTGCTCCTTTCCTATCCTCCTATGTCCACTCCCTGGAGAGGACTGCAGGGTGCTGGATTGAAGTATTCCTGGAAATCCCACCAGAAAAGGGGGATTTTAAAGAGCTCCTGAGGTATTTGTAAGGGCCAGGGGATGAGCAGGTGGGAAACACCGGGGCTGCCGGGAGGCAGCGAATGAACACAGTGCTGCAATTCCTGCCAAGACTTCTTGGTCCTTTTCTGTAGCTCCCTTCAGAAGGAGATGAAACCCTCAAAGCCCTCTTTTCTCCTCTTGTCCTCTTTTCCTCTCTGCTGTCCTCCCTTTTGACTTCTCCTCGAAGCTCCATCCAAGAAGTCCCTGAGGCCAGGAAGTCCATAGCTCTCCAGAGCTGCCACATTCAAACGTGAGCGGTTTTGCCATGAGGCCGCAGCAGCCGTCCCATTGACCATCAAAGCTCACATCCCACAGAGGCAACCTCTGATGCTGCTGAGGCAGCAGAAAGCTGCTGGCACCATGAAAAACACCTTCCAACAGCTCCATGATGCCCGAGCCGGCTCTTCTCCAAGACCCTCAGCGTGGTGGCTCTGACCTCCTTTTGGCTTGTGTGTGAGAGCGAGCTGAGGTGGTAGATACATCATTTC